TGGGGTAGATGTTGACCCTCCTAGATGATAGGACACTAGTGTAGAGGATGCTAATTGGGTCAGGACTATGTGAGAGGGGGGTGAGTTCTTTTCATCTCAAGAGCCCGGCCACTCAGGTAAGCGTCGTGCCACCAAGGTGCCCATGTGTGTGTGCATGGAATTGACTGCCTATTGGGGTTCTCTGGGTTCTTCTTCCATCCTCCATAGTCTTGATTGTGTGTGAGGTGTGTGAACTGCCTACTTACCTGATGAGTGAATGAATGGAGTATTTTGTTTGCCATGTGATAGCAGACTAAATAGTAAAAGATGATCGTTGCATTGCCAGTCGAAATCAAGATATATCGCTTGATCTAGCAATTCGATTACAGAGTAGGTCTTTGTGGAACTCTTGTTGGTTGGGACCCGGTTTTGACTCCACTGGGACCGTTTGGGACTCAGTGGGACCGGGCCCAAACAAGAAGGGCCCCTCAGGCCAAATCTGTTGACGTCAGTTGCCTTGCTCTATCTGATTGGGACTCGAACTTTATGCTTTCGGACCAGGACACTCGCTGCGCAGGGGATCTCCGCTGGGACGTTTTATCGGACTTTACCGCACAATCCGCCACCTGACTCGCACCTTGGACACCATTTCGCTGTACATCTTGAATCTGATTTGCTGTGTTTTCACGGAGCTGAGGCCGGCTAGGCTTGGGAGGACCCCATACGTAGTCAGTCCAGACTGTGTGGCTGGATCAGATCTCTCGAATCTTCTTTTTTTTTGTTTTGACGACTGCTCTCCTGTCCAAATGAATTGCTGCTCCGGCTAGGAGTTCTACCTTTTCTTCTGACTGAGTTCAAGCTGTTTCTGCCATTGGGTTCTTTAATGCCGGCGTCTACACGATCGCAAATGAGAGAGAGAGAGAGAAGAGAGAAGCTATTGAGTGTTGCTCTTGAGAGAGTGAGGAGAGGGAAGAGGAGTGTTCGTCACAAAGCTGAGAGGAAGTATGGACCCCTATTGAGAGTCTTACGGACACCCTCATCCTCCATCATGGCGTCTGCAGCAGACTGGAAGCTGCAGATGGACGCTGCCCCTGAGGCAGAAAAACCGCAGTATCAGTTCTTCTACGAGAAAGCTTTGAAGAGGGAGGAGGAAGAGAAAGAGAGAGCGAGAAGGAATAAGGTGCAGGCTCATGCGGCCGTCTTTAGCACCGTGTCTGCTCTGACTGATGAGGAGGTAGAAGAGAAAACGGTTACCCTCCTCAAAGCCTTGGTAGAGGTCCGGGTTGCTGAGGACCATACTGGCCAATTCACACAGGTGTTTAAGCAGCTTAAGGAGTTGCGCGAAGACATGGCCAAAATGGCGCAGCAGCACCGTGACCAGCTGCAACAATTTGCTAGTTCACAGCTGGCTCAGGTTGTCTCTCCACTCACCTACCCTGCTTCCAATGCTGCGTGTCAGTCCAGTTGTGCCCCTCTGACTATGTCTACGGAATCTGCGCCTTCCAATGCTGCAGCAAGTCCAGACCCCGCTGCTGCTGCTGCAGCGGCAAGTGGTAGTGCACGGAATTCTAGAACTGTTGCAGTCCCGACTCCGGACCCAGCAATGGCTGGGCCAAGCGGCAGCTTTGCTTACATCGACAGGAAGGCAGCGCAGATTCCGTCCAAGTATGACGGAAAGGACGACATCGAGTCCTGGTCAGCTCCATGCGATCCTACTTTGATGTGTTGGGGACACCCTCGTCAACCCAGTCGTCTATCCTAGGGACTAATGTGGAGCCCGTCGTGAGAGGTTTCTTGGAAACCCAAGCTGTCCAATCAGGCTATAAGAGAATAGACCTGAACAAATGGCTGAAGGCCACGCCTACCACCACACTCGAGGACCTCTTGATCAAAGAGTATCTTGATCCACATGCTGCAGCTAAAGCAAGACTCAAGCTTGACAAGCTCCAGCACAGCAAGTGGACTGGCACCATGCACAACCTGCAGCAGTATGTTAGTAAACTCTTTGTTACTCCGGATCTGGAGATGACTGCGCAGTCTTGTTTGGATGTGATGAAAGGTTCGGTCCCCTCTACTCTAAAAGATCGCCTAGGGCTCGGGCTCAGCGGATATGCAGATTGGCTTACCCTCATGCGGGACTCAGTCAAGTTGGAGGCACAAGACCTCCCAGGTGGATCAAGTGGCAAAAAGGCCATCAGCCGCAAACGGTTTCCAGGCAGCAACCGTTTTGCAGCACACGATCTGCTTGAGGTTGACGAGGAGACCCTTGTGGAAGAATCTTCTCTTGATGACGATCAAGAGCAAGACTGCGGGGCATCTTGCTCCTTGTCAACCCATGAGTATGAGTATGTTAACGGCGATGAATCTATGAATGCCTTCAAAAAGACTGCCTTCAAAAGTAAGGGACCGAGGACCACAATGAAGAACAACACTAACACTATCCTTCTTCCCAAGGAGTCGAAGATTCCACCCAAACCGGAAGATCCTGCCACAAAACCATGGGTAGATCTC